TCACAGTGGTTGTGACACACTGTAAAATCTGAATCTGTTGCAGCTTTAGGCAATGGAATAGGTCACTTGTTTTGTGAGTTTGTAGTATTTGAAATCTTAGGAAATCAAGCAGACAAATCAGATACAAAGGTGTTTCAGGAAGGAAATGGATGAAGTCATAGCTTGTTTTATCTGATCAGAATTTTGGATTTAAGTTCAAATGATTACTTCTGGCATCACTGTCAGTTACTTAATGTGCCAAATTCCTAAAAATGCACATACATTTTAGTTACACCTTTTCACTTGGCAGGCTTGCTGCTTATTTCACTGTGTTGCATAGGAGGAGAGTGAGCGAGCTGTAATAAGCCACTCTGAATTACTGAATTACAATTTAGCCTTGCTTAAAATCTAGGCTGTATTCTTGACCTTGAGGGATAATTGAAAGCAAGTTTAAGATATTACATTTTGGGGAAAAAGACTTGCCCTTGCCTTATACGCTTTGTGTGCTCGTACTGTTTGAAAGCTTGAAATTGCTGCATAGAAAGTTGATGTTTGAGTTTGCTTCCACATCCTGGCAGTAAAAAATTGTTATAACAAAGTAATGTGGAAAAATAAACTCAAATATCCAGGAACATATGACTGTGCTCAACAGTAACATTTATTTAAGCAAAGCATCATGGTGCTTTTCCTCTGGGTGCTCAGACAGAACAAGATGTTAGCAGCAAGAAATCATGATCTTAATTTTTTTTTTCCTTTTTGTTGATTATTATCCTAAGGAAAGCTTAATGCTTATGCTTAGTCTGAATTAACTATTCAGATATATGGGATATATCTAACTATAGTTTTTATGCTTATTTTAATGCTTTTATTAAAAGCTGATTTTTCTGTTCACCAGGTTGGCATAAAGTATATGTGCAATTAAACATCTATTCTTTTACAGAGGTAGTAGCACTACTTAAAACTACCGCAAACCCTCTCAAAACTACCAACTCATTTGCCGATATTTCTAATTTGCACTTACGATTTTGAATAACTTGATTTTTCTTTTTTAAGAAAACTTTGGTAATCAGAATGAATATGTAATCATTTATATATAGCACAGAGCAGTGAGAGAATGCCTGTTCGAGGACTGTTTCTACAGTCTTTGTTCTAAAACAATTATGAATTGAATATGCTTAACTCTTCTCATTAAATTCAGAGTGGGAATATAGATGAATATTCTAAGGTGGGTTGGAAAAAAGTGTTTTCAAAGGTAGCTATGGAAGACAGCTTAAAGATTGACTTCAATATAAAAGTATGTAACTTGGAGCTGTGTTATGTCAAGGTGATGACTTAGATAAGGTAAAAGCTTTCTTGCATCTGCCTAATTGTTTTCAAGTTCTAGTTTGCAGTAAGTAAAGCATTTATGTGCATATCCTTGCTGTGCCTGAATGTATTAAATCTATACATTAAAACAGTTCATCAAATCTTGGGTGGGGAGGGTGAAGGGAGTTCAGTCTTTAAATATACGTATATATTTATATGTATAAAAAAGTAAAGCAACCTCTTTCAGAACGAGCACAGCTGGATCTGTCACCCATCTTAGGCAGACAACTGGAACAACTTCTAAGTTAGGCAATATATTGGCACAAGACAACAGGTCTGTCTGAGGCTAATTTTAGTGTTGTGGAAACCCAGTCTCTCTTTCTCCCCCAGCCCAGCAAGCTACGCTC